GCTCTACCTGGAATACTTAATGCCAGCTCACCTCTACGGCCCATTCCTTCATCACCATCACTTTATCCCTTTGTCTAATTAATTCTTACTCTATATTCAAATCTCAACACCAGCTCAAATAAATCTTTCCTTGCCCTCAAGACTAGCTAGTTCCCATATCACCAGTTCTTATAGTCCACTATACTTCTCTTTCAAGGTACTTTAAAGGAAATATAATGAAATATTTTGTAATTAATTGTGAAATAGTTGTCTCCTTTGACATGACATCAGATCTACATCTCTCATTTGCTGCTATAGTTCTAGCACAGAACTCTGCACATAGTAGGTACTCAAAAAGGGCTAACTCATCATATGTAACACGTTCAATGATAAGTGATATTTGTGGAGCTCTATACTCCAATCTTCTAATGGTAACAAAAATTAAATAAAAGAATATAAAGTAGTCAACAAGGTCCTATTCATATATCTACACAGGAAGGATAGGTTTACAGCTTAGTCTAACCCCTTGTTTTCCTGATAGGAAAAGAATTCATCTCTCCCAGGCTTCCAACAAAGAATTCCAGAAGTTACATGAGAAACTCTACAAAATTGCCAAAGCTCATCAGCAAAGAAATTTAATAAGAGAAACCTTCCTAGAGATGTGTTTAGGACAAAAACAGAAGCGGGTCAGGAAGGAGATTATGTGTGTTAGGAAGGAGATTAATTCAAAATAGAACAAAGACCCTAAATGGTAGGGTAAGTTCCAGGTGGAGAACAATTGAGAAAACTAGGGATAGAGATGCCTAAGTGTGCTGGGTGATGTGGAAGAAAAGATGTGGGCATATGTAATCCATGTTATGTTTTTATAGTATGATACATGACCAGCCTGAATGTGGCTCCTTAACCTGTACCTAGAACATAGACACAGATGAGAATAGTAAATCAGTTAACTATAGAAAGGCTGATCTTAAAATTCTTGCACTCACTAAACATGCCAGTTTTCAGATTCTTCTAAAATATAGTTCAGCATATTTGGGGTTGAAGAGAGGGTTGGCTTACATGGACAAAGTTTTCGTGCAAATCTTCACATAGCATAGCTCTAGAAAGTACCATGCCCATTGCATTTTTTATGAATTGTGTACCAGTGCCCTGCAGTTGAGCATTGTGGCAGCCTCAGCCTCAGAAAGTGGTTGATTAATTCCAATGGAAGGTCTCATAATTATATCTTTGGGATTCCAGGATGAGTCAGCAAATAGATGTGTGGTAGTAACTGTTTCATCACCTGCCCTTAAGTCAAATTTCACAATGAATAACCTTGAAAAGAGCTGTAGTCTGGAGCCAATTTAGGGTGGAAAACCAAGGGGAAATTCTGAGTCAACCAAAAATAACTCTGTACATGAGCGTACATGTGAAGCAAGCATGAAATGATACATCAGCACTCAGGAAGGAAAAAGAGTTACTGGTAAGGTACTGAAGGATAGATGATAAAACCAGAAGCTTAACGTCAAGGACAGAAACCAGAGATGAGCTATGGATAATTCCAGAATAGACCTTAGAGTCAGAGGCAGCAGTTTGGAGTACAGAAAGCAATGTCACTAGTGCTGTACTGAGATGCCAGTGGGTTTGGGGTCTGTGAGGGCTCAGAGGGGTTGGTTGCCTTCGAGGTTTTGCTCAGAGGTGCTCCTGGAACTGGCTCCCCAGTCCTTTATAGTGTTTTGCCTTTACTATGCCATAGAACAATGTGGGCAGCTGATAAAAGCAAATATATGACTTGAGCATCAATTACACTCATTCATTGAAACAGACATCTTGGGTCACAACCAAAATCACCTTTTTTGACAAGGAAGTTGAATACAGAGATTTTTTTTAGCCCAAATAACCTGAATAAAGGCCTTAACTATTCTCTCCTTTTGTACCAAAGGCAGACTGAATGCAAGAAAAGCATATGTGACTAATCAAAATAGGTTCCCTACCACCCCCACTCCTCCAGGCCCCAACACATAACTGGAAGTTTCCTTGGCTACAATGGAGCCTAAACCTCATTACAGAGGGTTTATCTAAGGCCTCCAGGAATAGAAAAATGACCCCTGGTCATTGCAAGAGAGCATTAGTGAACACACAGTAACCCCCGAACAAACAGCACTCTTTAAGGCACTCATCTGCAATGCTGTGTCCACGTACAACATTAGGCAGAGAAAAAACTGGTTCTTGAGTACACATACTACTTGGAGATCAAGTCCCCTCTGCATCTATTTTAAGCTTATTAAAATAGGAGTAAGCTGTACAGGGATAAGAATGAGAATTAAGACATCTAGGGTTTGAAAGAAGAGAAGACTAAATGTGAAAATAAGAAAGACCAATGGTCCCTCTCATTCAAAGGTCAAAGCCCTATAAACACTCTCACAGAATGTTCTCTATGCATCTTATATTTTTAGCAGAGTGCCAAGCCGAGTTGACTCTCCCAGCTATCCAATTCAAAAGGCTGAGTCTGAGAGCCAAGCTTCCTCCTCAGTAACCATACCACAAAGATGGGAATGGTACCAGAAGCAGCAAGTTCTTGGCTTCATGCCAGCTGCTTTATTACTTATTAACTTATTTTACATAGCCTTCGGCATGGCAAGAAAAGCTTCCTTTAATTATCAAAAGGAATGAAGAAGCCACAAGGGAAAATCAGAGCCAGAAAACTGTGGCTGCGCTGATTACACCTGGCTCTTATCAAAGCTGACACAGGGTCCAGGCTGTGCAGATACTGGTGCTGAAGCCATGGGCCATGCGTGGGAGAGAATCTGGAAGGTACCACTCGGCACCGGGTAATTCTGCCTAAATGAATTCTCGATAAGGAGGATTTTTTAGTTCTTCTCTCCTCTTCTTCCACTTCAGGGAAATTGAACACCAAAGTGCCAGAGACAGAACATACAGAGTATAACCTTTAGATTCAGGTGGCTAACGTGGTAGAGCAGGCTGGAGCTTCAAGGTATTGAGAGTAAGAGAAGAGATCACTCAGCAGAGGCACTGGCTAAAAGGCAGCCTCACATCTTTGTAAGTACTAAAAATTACCATCAGAACCATCTTATGAGCAAGTTTAGAAGGTGAGAAGGTACTGAGTGGGCTGGAGAACACCTGGGAGAGCCTGCTCCTGCCCAAACATGTCTGTCTCGGTCCCACGAGCATCATCACTGGAGCATCAGATCCAGTACCGCCTTCTCCCTCAAGTTGCTAACTCCTTCTCATGACTGTGTTTGTCTCAATTTTACCAGCGAGAGCATTTCAGGGAGAAAAGTGGAAGGAGATACAACAGAATCTTGAAAAGAGATTTTAGGATAACAAATCCTCGCTCCCTTGACTTCCCAGGCCCATGAAAATTTCAGAATGTAGCATCTGGGTGATGTTCTAATTTTGTGCCATGGTACAGTGCTGTTGTGGAGTAATGCCTTGTGCCACACCTCTGGTTATCCTCCAAAGAGAAGACGTTATCTTAGCGTGAAGCAGCAGGAGTAGGCAAGGATGAGCAAATGCAGGAGGAGGTTGAGGGGGGCCTGTTTCCATGTGTACTTTCAGAAAGAAATTCAGTTCTCCTGTTTCCAGGAAACCTTGACACACGTGAAAAGGCCACCAGCCCCTAAAAGATCTTTACCACACAAAACTAAGATGTGGTGGGTCAGCCTGGCCATCACGATGAAAGGCTAGATGGTATGGGGAACATGGCGTGTATCAGGTGGCTAGTGACAATTTACATCACCTTGCAGAAGGTAAAGAGCCTGCCTAACGTGTACTTGATGAAAAGAGGTGAACTATAAAATGATGACAGTGAAAAATTTAGAGAAATGGGGTAACGTTTCGTGAAAAATCAAGTTTGTAAAGCTGTGTTGAAAGAAAATGATGAAGTCGGAGGATGACATTTCATGAAATTTCAGGACAAATGCTGAAACAAGTAGGCATGTGTGGAAGAGATGACTTTAAGGGGAGAAATTATCTAGGAAAAGAGAAAGAAAAGAAAATTTTAGTTTCTTATTTTCACAAGAAGATAAAACGTAATTGTAAAAATGTTTGGCTTGCTGGATAGAGGAAAATAACTACAAATTTGTATAGCATGTAAGTATATTTATAATAGGAAATATCTGTGAAATAAAATACATTGAGGCACTTTGACAAAATAATGTTATCCATATTATTAATACAACTGAATGTGTCCTCTTTATCCAACACTGATTTTTTTTCTACAATTTTTCTTTCTTTGGCCCTTTCTTCTTGGGCTTCTTTTCATTTTCAAACATGTTCTGAACTTCCCTATCTTAAAAACCATCTAAAAAATATATATAAACCTTTATTTTAATATTTTCTCCTAGTCTACCACTATCTCACCTTGCAATCTCCCATTATAGCCAAAGATCTTTGCACACATCATCTTCATTTGCTCCCTTCAGTTTCTCTCGAAGTCCTCCCTCCTTCCTTCCCTCACCCCTTAATTCCCAGCAATCGGGCTTCTACCTCCTCACTGCTACTGAAATGTATGATACTTCCGTGGTATAACAGGCTCCTTCCAACCACCCCCAAACCGTTCTTCAGGCTTCGTCCTTTGAGTTCCTCTGCCACATTTTAAGCTGTTGAAAGCCACAATCCTTCTCAACTTCTTCTGGGAGTCTTCCCTTGCTGTGTCTTTTCCCAAACGCATCCCCCCCACCCCACACCCCCCACTCAAAAAGAAAAAAAAAGTATCCACATTCTCTGTGAACAGCTGTCCTTACAGGATAACTTTACGAGAGTACAGTTCTAGAGTACAGTATTACCCATGCAATCCCACAGTGCTTTATGCTTTAGAAGTTTGTTCTAGTTGTTTCTGATCCGGACAAAATATATAAAGACATGGATCTTGGCCAGTGTCCAGGGAATACCCTGCATTTCTCATTGCTGTTGTTTTCCTTAGCTTTCCCAGTATAGATACAGATCACACATTTGTATCCCAGTATAGATACAAATAACCAGAGGTACACTTACTCTGAGTATTCTGATCATCCCCGGTTCTTTACCATTTCAACTCTCCCTCCCAAGATGGTGTGGCTTTGTAGATAGTACAGCAGATGTCTGGGAGAGAGGGATGAGACCGGGTTTCCTTTATTGCTCTCACTTTCTGTTTTCCAATTTCTGGAAACGAATAAGCCATGGATTTTAGTTACCACAATCTATACCAAATGTATGATAGACCTCGTATATAAGTGTACCAAATGCAACAAAATCAACAAGCAAACAAACAACTTTTGACATTGATGCCTCTGGGGAAGAAAACTGGGTGGTTCAGTGAAAGAGGTGGGAGAGAGATTTACCTTTCACTGAAGCTTTTATACCTTTTCACCTATATGCTGTGTGCATTTATCCTATATTCAAAAGTAATTTTTAAATACAAAATGCATAAAATACTTTGTTAGATTCTGTTGATCTAAAGAAAGATTTCTAGTCTCAGGAGCTTACCATATCATTAGGAGACAGGACATTATTTTAAAAGAAAAAATTATAGATATTTTATACTGGCCCCTCTACTTACTCGCTACCTAATATTAACCGAGTTATTTAACTACTTTGATTTCAGTTTCTTTACTTGTGGAGTGGGAAGACTGGATTAAATAAATACCTATATCATTTCATTTGTTCATTCATTAATCTTATTTATCTAGTCAAGACATTTTTAGTGAACACCATATTAGCTGGCTTTTGCCGTATAACTACCCTTAAAATTTAGTACCTTAAAACATTAACCATTTATTTAGTTCACAGTTCAGCAGAGTGGCAATTTGGGTGGAGCTCAGCTGCCTGGTTCTTCTGTTAGTCTACGATGGGGCTCATATATGTGTCCACGATCGGCCATCAGCCAGCTAAAGTGGCTCTACCTCTGGGGCTATCAGCTGGGGCAACAGAGGCGACTGGGCCACATGGCTCTCATGTGGTCACCCAGCCTGGGCTTGTTCACATGTGGTCTGAGATTCGAAGAGTAGCAAGAGGGCAACGTCTCAAAGAAAAAGCCCTCTTCAGATCTCTTCTTGCATCATGTTAGTTAATGTCCCATTAACAAAATCAAGTCCAGCCCAGATCTAAGGAGTGAAGAAAGAGACTCCAAACGATGAGAACTATAAAGTCAATTGCAAAGAGCTGTGGAAGAGGGAGAAGAATTTGTGGCCATTTTACACTTGACCACAAGCATCTTTTTTGTACCCCTACCATCATGGAGCTTACATTTATTTTATCTTCTGTGCCACTGAGTTTCTACTGCTAGCAAATGATAATTATGAAAATCTGGAGTGACACGTACCTTAAGGCAAATCTCAGGGAAGAAATGAGTAAGTCTACAGAATTATTAAGTTAACAAAACCTTTTTCCAAGAGACTGTTTTGGCCAGATTTTTCAAAATGTTCATTCAGTTTTTTGTTAAATTTTTGCCAGAAATTCTATTTGCAGACCCAAATGACAGCCTTACTGTGTTTGGACTCCTTAAGAGTTAAAGGAAGCAGTGACTGTTAATTCATTTCCCTTATTGGGGCTCGCAGATTTTTTTTAAACTACAGCTTGTGGAATAATAAGATATATGACCACTGGGAATGGCAGGAATCAATCCATTAAACAAGTTCTAAACATATTCAACATCCCTAGCGCTGGCCAGACATTGCAGGGATAAAAATGAGACAATTATCATTCCTTCCATCTGGGAAGCTTGGCATAAAGTTAGCGGGGGAAATACTAATGCATCCAAAAAACGATAACAAACAATACCAGGTAGCAAATGAAATGAAGATGTTGAATCCACAGTTCTCTCCAAGTATCAAGTTTCTCCAGGTGTTCCAGCTGCTCTTACACTACCCGCTCCCTCACTTCCTGCTGTGTCAAGTGTCCCAGAGTAAATTACCCTGTGGAGAGGAAATGTTACTCAGCCTGACATCACTGTGCTCCATCACACCCTCTCACACACCTGCTCCCAACCTCGCATCCCTCACACACCTGTCATCACCCACAAAACACTCCCCTCCTCTACCCTATACATCAGCCTATAAATTCACATCCTAATTTTTCCATTTAGATAAGACATCCTTCCCAAACACACAAACCCAGAATGAGATGTCACTTAAAAAAAATTGCAGAAAATATGCTCCGGCACGTTTCTACTTTTCCTCCTTTACGGTAACTCTGAAGAAAACCGAAGTCCCTATGGGTAATGACCCAAAGGTCAGAAGAACCTCGAGAAGGGGCGGTTGCCTAATGGAGAGAGCACTTTCTGGGGGCCAGAGGGCCCTGAGTTCTACAGATGATGTTGATGCTTTCTCATGGTCTCATTTGGGGCATGGTCACTGAGACTTTGAGTTTCCTTATCTTTCCAGTAAAAATAATGAATATTCTATCTCCCCCATCTACCTCACAGGGTTGTTATAATTTTCCAATTTGATTACTATGTAAAATTATCCTATAAAATGTAAGTTTCTATATCAAAGGGGTAACAGCTCTATCTAAAACCAAGGGTGATACTCAGAATATTTATTGACTGATGTGCAATGGCATGTATTAATCAGAGGACACCTAGCAGCCAGAATAAACATCAACCAGCAGTCCTGGAGCTTACCAGGAGAATGTCAACCCTGTCTCCGTGGATCTACATGTAATATGGAGGGGGAAGTGGTGCAGACAGCAAAATAGGCACATGGACAAAGTCTTATGTGGGTGCTGCCCTCATTCAAAAATAAGTACTTATTAGGGCATATATAGATTCCTATTGGTAGTATAAATTGTTAAAAACTTTGAAACTTAAAATTTAAAGAAAGTGTGATCATAAAACAATATTACTAAAATGAATTCAAAAGTAACTTTAACAGTCACATTTCCACACATTTTTGAGCATCATTCATGACCTAAAAGTGTCTATCTAGAAGTTTTTTGAAAACTTTCACCTCTAAACTGGCTAAATAGCAAATAGCCATCAACTGCCATATAATTGCTTTGTCTTTGCTGAAGCCAACTGAAGTTTTATTTCCTTCAGGCTAGTGATCAAGGATACCTACACATCAAAAAAATATCATCTTTTTGTATTTTACAATAAGTCAGATATTTGGCACTCTAAACCAGTGGGCTTTGGAGTAACTAATATGTGAGACATGTTCATATGTTCTCATATGAAAGAGAAATAGTCTGAATTTAGGCCCCGTAAACGCCTAAAAGCCCCACTGCCAGGACTGATGCATATCTACGCATGTCTGGCAAATTGATGTGCAGCACTTGCCAAATATCTATTTGAATGAGGGCCGAAGAGACCTCCCAGGGGAGAAATTATTCCAAGGGAAGAGAAGGTTAAATAGATAAGCATGGACAGTCGGGTCAGGAAAGGGACAGTTGTAAGGTCAGCATGGTGTTTGCCACTAGAATTTGAGTCTCGTGGATGTGGTGAAGTCGCAGATGGCTTCAAGAAGAAGAATTTGGAGTTTTCAGCTATTAAATGCAGGGCCCTCACTGTGCTGCTTTGGCACATGTCCATGCCCCCACATATACACCACTACCACTCCACCCACCCCTGGGACCTCAAGCTCCCAGGACACCAACAGCTCTGCAGGAGACAGCTCTGTGGCATCCAGAGCGGAGAGCTATACTCAGGGGAAGGCCCATGAGTGCCCAGCAGATGGCAGTGGTGCCTGGACCAGGTAGCCAAGTCTGTGAATGTCTGCACACCAGAAGAAGAATCGCTCAGTGCCCAGGAGACACCACGAGGCAGCTCACTGGACTCTGAGCCTAGGCTGGAGGTGGCATGCAGAGAAGGGAAGTCCAAAGGTCAGAAAACACATTGATTATTGAGAATGTTGGATTGCCCCCTTAGCCCAGGGCTCAGGCCTTTCTGATTCTCCATCTCCTCCCATTTCCCAAGTTGTTTTAAAGGCCAACTCTAACTCTATGTCATAAATTTCAGTTTTTGTATCTCCATCCCAAACCTTTCTACTGGACTCCGGACTCATATATCCAACTGGCCGCTGGGTATCTCCCTTTGGATGCCAAATGGAAAATGTCTAAAACTGGACTCCTAATCTTCTCTCCTCAAAAACATCTGCAACCTCCAGCCTTCCTTATGGAACCCTTCATCCTTCCAACGGATCAGGCCAAAATTCTTGCAATCATTTTTAATTTCTTTCTTTTCCCCATCTTCACATCCAACTCGTCAGCAAATCCTAAAATCCAGTGACTTCTTACTGTCTCTGTAGCTTCTTCTTTGGTCTAAGGACCCACATCGCTTGCCTAGATCACTTCAACACATTAAAGCACAGAACTAGAACTCAATCGCTTATCTTTTTAGTGTTGGGGTGGTAGAAGGAAGGCCAACAATTTAATTTCAATTAAAAATCTGAAATTAGAAAACTCATGAAATGACCTCTATAAGATTGTCCCTCAAGGAGAATTAATGTGACACATTAATAGGGTCCCTCCTATCAAAACCCTGCCGTTGCTTAAGGATTTAGCACACTCCGTCCTCACATGCAGTCTTTCTTGACACCACCAGCCCGCAGGGCCCTTTTCTGGACTTGGAACCCTATAGCGTTTACAGTACATATGGTTTGTCTAGCATTTGATTACATTCTATCTTGGACTGTGCACTAATCTTTCCACGGGTGTTAATCCTGTTGCTCCAGCTGTGTAACGAGGCAGAGGTCCAGCCTAAGCCAAAAGGGGGATTTGATATGTCTGAGCGGTCTGGCCCGTGTGGTAACTATTAGGTGCGGCCACCATAGGTATTTGCATCTGAGGTCTTTGCTGAAGATTTTGAGCATGTGGGTGTGTGCATCCCAGGGTGGGTGAGGGGAAGACCAGGAACTGGGGAAAGCCTGGTTTCTGACTTCAGATATTAGTCCCCTGCTCAGCCTATGGATTCAGGTCTGAACCCAATAGAGAGATCTGCTGGCAGGCTTAGGGAATTTTTTCTTGGGCAAGTATTGAGGCAAGCGAGCCAGGCTACTCTGCTTTGATGCCCACATGACAAAGAGAACAGAGAGCAGGTGAGCCAAACATGCTGCTTGCTTGTCAGGGACTCAGCCTAGCAGTGAGGCTCAGAAAGGGTTGGGGCTACCAAAAGCAGACTTGGATCTCATTAAAAAAAAATTTTCCAGACCCCCTTCAGTGACAGATGGGCTAAGCTATTTTCTGGTAGTTTACATGGGCAGTTTCCATAGTTGAGCTGCCTCCATTCTGAATCTCCAGGTCCAGTCATTTGTACCAGGTTCTCCGCATCTCGGCTACTCTGGCACCTCCCAAGTTGGTAACTTGAGGACAGAGCAAGGGCACCCTTATTGGTCACAGAATCCCAGGAGGACCTTGATGGCAGCAGCAGTTGTCTCAGGCTGCCTCCAAGTGACATCAAGCATGTGGCCCCTGAGTAGGAGAAAATGAGAAGCTTGTTCATGAATAATTGTTCACTCATGGAGCATGCTCAGAAGGGAATACTGTAGTGTTCACTACATTGAAGGTAGTGGGGATGAATGGAGGTTCTTACTTTCTTCAGGGCATTAACCTGATCTGGAGAAATGTTAATTATTATTTTAGAGTGGTCTCATTTGAATCCACAGACCAGTGAGGCATGGGGAGCCTGAAGCCTTTGCAAACTCCATAAGTGGAAAGCCCAGGGCGTTCACGTAACTGGGGCATCCCAAACCATACATACAGTAGGCTCTGGTTAATTGGATTTTTCAAAAATAGACATAAGTAACAAAGGTCCCTTCTGAATCAGGGATATCAAAAGCCAAAGTATGTGTGTGTGAGGGGGGGGTGGCGGCGCGCCCCGGGGCTCCTTCCTAAGGCCTCGGCTCCTTCCCGCTTTCCGCAGTGGAAATCAGACTTCAGGACGGAAGCAGACACCTCCCTTCCTAGCAGTAGAATTAGGAAAGTCATCTAACCCCATTGAACTCAATTTGCCTTAAAATAAAAAAATAATAATTCCTAGCTTGACTTCTTTGAGCATTATCAGGGTAATCAGCTGAGATCATGCATGTGAAAACGCTTTAAAAACTATAATACAGTATAAATTTAAAATATAATTCATATAATAATGTATCTCCTCATATAACCTAAGATTAAGAATTAAGACAATAATTGGAATAATTTTTGAATGTTTAAGTTTACCTTATTAACTAAATATTTGTAACAAAACATAGTTGATTAATTACCCAATTCACCTTGCATCACTGAAATCAAAAAGACAGCCTAAGAAATAAGCTCTTGACCTTATTGAGTGTTTAAAGCCATTTATTTACTCATGATTGAAATGTCCCACATATTATAAGTGTCTTAAAATCACAATTTGGAGATCACCTTATTACTTATTAAATAAAAGATAGCCCATGTGTGTTGTCTTGTTTCTTAACCTCTTCAGTGTTTAGATTCCAGACGACACTTTGCATCCTTCAGACACTTTCGTGTCACTCAGCCTGTTACACTCTGCTGTCCGTTCTCATTCTACCAATTACGCACACTGAAGGACTTTGCTCGGAGCCTTACTTCGCTGATGCTGATGTCTTCCATGAGGAGACACAGCATCTCTGAGACTTCTGTTTCTTGGGGAGGAGATGGCCTAATGGCTTTTTAAAATATTTCTAATATCATGTTTTCCAACTTAGAGAAATTAACTACATGTCACGCTTGGGTTCTGGCACAACAAAAATAACAAGCTAATACTCTCTTCTCAAAAGGTTAAAACTCTGTTCCCATCAGGCATTTTTCTAACAAGACCATTCAATTTGTGGAAGAATCTCATAGGTCATTTCAGATGAAGGTCTGAAAAAAGTACGTTCCACCTCATATTGATTCTTATTTCTTTTTTATTGGTATATGACTAGCATACAATAAAACGCACAGATCTTAAGAGAGTTCAAAGTTTGGACAACTG